ACGATGAGCTGTATGAGCTTTACTACGATATGGACATAGAGCAGTGAATTAAAATACAGCGGCTCCGCTGGCTTGGTCATGTCGTTCGAATGGACACCGACGCTCCAGCTCTGAAAGTATTCAACTCGGAACCCGCTGGTGGTAGCAGAGGAAGAGGGAGGCCCCCACTGCGATGGAAAGATCAGGTGGAGAAGGACTTCGCTTCGCTTGGCGTTTCCAATTGGCGTCAGTTGGCACAGAGGAGAAACGACTGGCGTGCTTTGTTGAACACGGCCAAAATCGCTTAGGCGGTTACAGCGCCAAAAAAGAAGAGAAGAAGGTAGATACATGGATAACGCAGAATCGGGGCGATATGTTAGATCGTTGGTATAATCAGGTTCATTTTTCACTTTTGGTTTCCATGGTTTTCTATAGGCGCATGACAAATTTCGGGTAATTTTTTTTTTTCAGACGAAACTCAGTATAAGGCAGTAAAAAAATTATTTCCTAAGAACGAAATAAAATTTTCCAAGCGTATAGTTTAAAATTTTATATATGTATGTACATATATACATTAGCGTGGACCGAAAATCCGTTTTTTTTTAGAATTTCGTTTGGTAATAGCAATAATATGGTTCACTATGCTCTAAAAACAATCTGTGTGAAAGATGACTATCTTTGGTCAATATCTTAGGCTCGCCCAAATCCATCAAAGTTCAATGTGCTCAAAAAATTTAAATTAAAAAATACAAATACATTAATTAGGCTGTGTACGAGTACGTCCAAATTGCTACCTAAATAGAGAAAAATCACTGGAAAGTGTCGGTAATGCAGTGAATAGGAACAATTTAGATTTTTACCGAGCATACTTTTCAACCTAAATTGAACTGTGAAATATAAAAGGGTGCACTATTAAGCGAACAATGATTTTGTTTTAGAAGTTTTAAGTAATTTTTATCTTTTCTATTGCCATATATGTAATACTCTTATATTGGCAGTAAGAGCTAGTACCGAAGAAAAGGAACACATACGTTTATAAATACACATGTACACAACACATATATAAAAACGGCACTCAAGTACACAATACATTGACAAAAACGGTACTAGACTGTCTCGCTTTGATTTCGGAATGCTTACACATTGAGAAGTTAGCTTACTGCCAATATAGAAGTATTACATACATATATGTCTATGGCACAAAAAAGAAAATATTCACAAAAATGTCAGTACAAATATCTATGATTTTGGTGAAAGTAAAGAATAGGGTTCGATGAGCTAGAAAAAAAGGCCCTCGGGATCCCGGGATATAATTTAATTTACTACCAAATTAAAATAAAACGACATTCAGACACTGTAATGGCATAAAATAATTATAAAATGCAAATAATCAAATAATATATTGCAATTCTAACACAACTATTATTCTATGTTATAATATATATACCCTATATATGACGCATTCTTTTTCATATCGATCACCAAATTTGGTGTCAGAATTTCGACGGGCTTCACATTTTTCCTTTTTTCTTCGGATATATAATCTGTAAAATTTTGGATTTTTTCGTGATTCTGACTAAATAATCATGTACTTCTTCAAATTGTTATATCTCGGTTCTGTTCCTCGTAGAGACTTCATTGTTGACTCTCACAAAATAAACCACCTCGTCATAAAAAAAAAAAATATTTTAAAAATAGTTCTTGTAAAACTCCCAGTTTTTTGGAACATGGTTTTTTATGGAGAATTAAACAAGGATTACGATGGTGTAATGTTATATCCAGCGCGGCGTCAACAGTTTTTTGCCTCCTGAACATTTGAGATATATTTAGTTGTGACGTGCTTTTGATTTAGAGTGCGATGTGTGCATGGTACCCTGTACCAGGGTTGTTGCGAATATTCGCATTCGCATTCGGAATAATCAATGCGGAGCTTTTGCGAATGCGAATGTTGTGCAAGTGCAACGATAAAACGTATATCTGGAAAACAAAATGACAAATTGTATCCAATATTTGATAAAACTGTCTTTAAACATATTATGGGTATTCATGGAAACGCGTAAATCCCTCATAACCGCGTAAACCTCGCAAATAATTAATTTTTCATACAAAATTAAGTAAGTTTACAAGGTTTACATGGTTACGAGGCATTTGTGCGTTTTGGTGAATCGCCCTATTACTTCGTAAGCTATATAATCGAGCTATCAATGGGCAGTCATACAAGTTTCCACTTCTACTTGACCTTGGAGGTACGTCAAAGAGAACATAGTCTTTTAATAATATTTTTTTCTGTACTTTAAATACCTGCATTGGTTTCTTTCATCATTATAATTTTTTTGGACCAATCTTAGAAAAAAACTTCTAGACACAGAAGAAGAAAGTGTGCACTGTAATTCTTAACCAAATTTTCGTGATTTGCTTTTGATGTTACATATATTCGTTTCAATAATTTCAAATGGGCCTCTTTGGAGAATTTATTTCTAGCAAAAATTTTAAAAAGCGTAGTTTTGGATACTTGTCGGGCAATATTTATTCATATGGATATACACTGGATCCTTGGCTAAAAACTTCTGTGGTAAAACTGTCCGCCTACGTCTTCCTTTTTTGCTATTTAAAGTCAAAGAGTAAGCTCCTTCAATAGGGATTTCCAGCAGAAATGATCAATGTCTGGCAATAAAGAGAACCGATGCTCAAATAATTAAAAAGCTATAGGTCTGACTTTTAATTAGAAAAGAATTACGTAACTATCTGAGATCCTCATCATCCGTAATTCCAATAATTCAAATTCTTATGAAAAACGGGGTTTTTTTTAAATAACAATATTCTGATCCGATTCGGCTGGCAGCTACGACTTTGAAAACAGAATATTCATCAAAATTTTCAATCCTGGAAAATAATAACTTATTTTGCATATCCCCCTATTATTTCGCTATAAGCACAAATGTTTCAAACCAGTCGCAGAAGAAAGTATTGAAAATGAATTACAAAAACTAAAATCGAAAATCGCGGATGAAGTTACAGATTCCCCAAACTCGGAAACAGCCACAGGAATGAGAATGAAGAATTATTTTTAAAAAGCTTTAGAAAAACCCGACACATTGGTTTTGGCTTGCAAGCGCTGTTTAAACAACGATCTCGCCATTATGCTAGATTGTTTCTTGAAAATACTTGACATCCGCATGTTAGCCGTTAGTTATGCGCATCCACATTCGCAGCCGCGGATGTCTAAAATTCCACATTCGCAACTTCCCTACTCTGTACATATGTATATATGCATGTGTAAAACTACACTATAATAATAATAATAATAATATATTGCACAAGCTAAAACTTAAATACAAACATGCCACCTTCATTTTACACCTACGGAAATTTGCATCTATTTGTATAATTTGCAGCTAAAACATTTAATTATTATCAAATACACTTTTGCATAATTATTATTATTCACCTAAAAATTCCAGTTAAAGATGACAGCTCTCATACGATTGGTGTAGAGTTTGGCTCTCGTATAGTCAATGTTGGCGGCAAATCCGTAAAGTTGCAGATATGGGACACTGCTGGGCAGGAACGCTTTCGCTCTGTGACACGGTCGTATTATCGTGGCGCTGCTGGAGCTTTGCTGGTTTATGACACAACATCCCGTGATTCTTTCAATGCACTCAGCAATTGGTTGAACGATGCACGCACATTAGCCAGTCCAAACATTGTCATACTATTGGTAGGCAACAAGAAGGACTTAGAAGATGAACGCGATGTAACCTTCTTAGAAGCGAGTACCTTCGCACAAGAAAATGGTATGAAATATTAATTTACAAAACTATTTACGATATCTGCTCTGGAATTCTTTATATCGAATCTACTTTTTTTTCAAGAACTCATATTCCTTGAGACCAGCGCCAAAACTGGTGAAAATGTAGAAGAGGCTTTTTTGAAATGTTCAAAAACAATTTTAGCAAAGATTGAAAGTGGTGAACTAGATCCCGAACGCATTGGGAGTGGCATACAATATGGTGGAGCAGCGTTAAAGAACCTACAAACTCGACAGCGAAGTATTAATAAGCCCGATTGTAGTTGCCGCGTCTAATAAGAAAGCAAAATGGATTAGCATTGCTGAAAACAATGTCTTATCAAGTCTTGAAAATATTTGTTTAATCTCATTTTAATTTTTAGCATATACATACATAGTAAGATATGATCGTTTGTTAACGATTCCGTGCATGCAAAACGATGCCGGCTTACGAATTTTAAGTGTATTTAAAAACTTATATTTATTTTTCGACAACTTCTCTGTAATATCCTTTATCGGCAATTTTCGCAAATATGAGATTCTGATGTAAAAGTCTTTTTAAGACTTAACCGTCATGTTAATGCTGACCTTGTATATCGCTTGTTAGAAGAATTTACTATTGAATTCAAAGTAATGACAGTCCCAGATGGTAGAAGTAGTTTTTGTGAAAATTGCATATAGAGGCAATTTAATAATGGCCTTCGATTTACTATATGTATATATATATATATGTATATATGTATATATATATATATATAAATATGTATATGTATTATATATTGCAATTAGACTAAGAAAAAAGTATGGAAATTATCAACAGTTTAATGCACATTCATTGCTATTGTCGAATCCATCGTGATAATTTTTTTTTTGTATCAATGAAAAGGCTATCGTCGAATCCAAATTAATACTAATATATCCATATGCCTTAGCCAAAATAATAGAAACGCTAGAAATGGCTATAAAATGCATACATTCTCAAAAAAATACTAAAAAATCTAATTAAAAAGTTTAAAATTTAGATGAAACTGCACAAGTTGGAAATATAAATTTATATGGTTTTTGTTAGATCATGAGCTGCACTTTTATAAAAAAAAATAATAGATATTAAATAAACAAAAGAAATATATCCAAAACGGGTCAAATAAAGGCGTTTCTATTATTTTGGCCATGTATATGTGGATTTCAAGAAAATGAACCCATAACAGATTCAGCAATAACCGTGATATCTGTGTTTTTGAGCGGAGTTAATTTTAATTACTTTGGTACTAAAAGTGTAAGGTCATTCCGTATTGGGGAAAAATGTATTAATTTGATATTAGCACGCATACATCTGTATGTTGATATTTATAAATTTTTCCCAATTAAATTTAGTTTTGATGCCTATTTCTTTGCTGGTTAACTCTTTCATGTTTATGTTTAATGAATTAATTAATGATACATTTGTTATTAAAATTTTATGTGTACCTATTATATGATTCTATATATTTCCTTGAAAATTATACGAAATTTTAAAAATTGAACATATACGAAATACATATTTGTAAATAAGAGAAATCAAATTAAAAAAATAAACTAACTTTTAGGAAATAACAATTTTAATTTTTTTATAGTACACGCTAGAAAATATGAGTAAATTCTATTTTAGAGCGGGCACAATAAAATTATTGATCAGTGAACCTTTGTAAAACACAACTCAATCATTTAGCTTCTTACAAAAATAGGCCTCAATATATTTCATAAGCGTTGTAAATGCGAGCGAAGTAGTTCATATATAATTCAAATACTATAGGTAAATATCAAGTAGGAACAAAATAGGCCAAATTATTGCTCTTTTTTGACCTCTCCATTTGTAGGTGCAGCATAATTTTGGTAACAATTCACCATATCTTTGGCTGTGTAGCTCAGAGTAGCCTTTGTGCGACTCCCGGGGAAATTCTATTAAAATAACTAATGCTAATTAGTAATTCGTTTACAAAGTACCAGTTTTCATACAATAAAATCGTAGGCAATTAAAGTCCACAGATAGAAAAAAGCCGCTGGTAACACGCTGCCTAGGATAGCGCATTCGAAGTTTGTTAATGTCGTCAACATTTTGTCTTCCGAGTACAAGCGATTACAATAAAAATTTCTCAAAAATTAATAATACTACGTTAATTGTTTTATCGCAATTCAATGGTAATTTGTTGTAATGAAGACGGGTTATGATTCACAAAACTGGCGTCACAAATCAGCTGTTTCCAGTGTCAAATATTACACTGAAAGAAATTCTAATAAAACGCTTCTGCTGCATTTAAAAAGCAATATTTAGCAATTTGAACTTATACAGCCCAATTCTTAAGCTGAAGCTCCAATAGAAGATTTTTCGGGCGTTGCGGCTTTCGAGGTCGTTCATGCTTTTCAGGTGAGCAACTCCACAACAAATTTTATGCGCTTGACGTTACTTGCAACCTTTGACATGGCGCAGTAACCCGGCGTTTACATGAGACACTTTTCGCAATACATTCACACAATTCCACTACACACAATTCGTCACTGTCATTGATTTTTCGAAGACAGTAAATTGGACAATTCGGTCACGTCTTGGTTAATTTGAGAAAAAGTTGCAAGGCAAAATCGCAAAAAATCGCAGAATTATGAAAAAGTTGTTTGTGTTTGGATATTTTAGTAAATAATATAAAATTTACGCCAAACGACACTAACAGCGGTTGCTGAAAAATGTATTGTCTTTATAATTGTCTGGACGCATACTTTACACAACAATTTGACAACTAATACATATCTCAATTGTCTTGTCTCGAATTGTCTTATGTAAACGCAGCGTAAATGAGAGAATGGTGTAGAGTAAGTTTTCCCGCAAATGAGATATCGACTAAAAATGCTAGTTCGATAAAACTGATATTACTTTTGCCATTACATTTTAATTTATTCAGTACTTTTGTCCACCTCTTTCATATTCATTTTCATATAATAAATAATTTTTCTTTGCGTTGTATTGCAATAGTTTTGTGTTGCATTCATTAAAAATATTTTAAGTGATATCGATTACAATATTGCCATAATAATATTCACCAGTACTAATGTTCGAATGTGTTAACTGTTATGGTCTGACTATGCATACTTCGCACAACTTCGCATAAACTTCAAACTGACGACGCTGAAAAGCCTACAAAGCCTGAAACCAGTTCGAAATTTGTCATCTTTCAGGCGTTCAATCGGCTTCTTCACTAGTTTTTTTTTCGATTATTTATCGAAGTGGAAGTCACATTTTATCATTTTTAACACACCATTTCGGATTAAAGCTGAAATTAGTCGAGAACGCAGAACGTATGCTTAAACGCAGTCTGTATACGCAGAATTTTGTCGATTACTGGAGCCCTCAGTGTTGCTTACTACACTGTTGCCACTCATCAATGCCTTTTCATAAACTTACCCTTTCAACTACAATTTTTCGTGCTATAATAGATTTTAGCTAAATATAAACTACTTAGTTTTCAACAAAAACCTTATTCAATAGTAAATTTTAAATATTTTAAACATATTTTGAATAGGAACTTATATCTTTTTTACCATCTGTAAAACTGACGAAGTGGTAACCATCTAAAGAAGGAGAAATCAGCTGACACGGAAAAATCTAAATTCCGCAGATTTCTGCGCTACGGGCTACAACTACAGAAAAATTCTGCGTTATTGAGTTTTCATTTACATGGCGCTTTGGTAAGACAGATCGTGTCAGCTGACTCGGGTTTACGTACCGGTAGGTTTACGTTCTTGACTAATTACAGCTTTAGTCAATAACGCAGAACGTATACTTAAACGCAGCTTTATACGCAGAATTTTGTCGATTACTGGAGCTGGAGTTGGGTTTGACAGTTCAGACAGTTCATTTATAAGGTTTACACAATTATAAGTTTATACGGTTTACAATGCATTTATAAGGTTTGATGAATACCCTTATTATGCGCGTTCCTTATCTCCCAGAAATAGTCAGAAAAAGTCCGAAGTAGTCAGATTTAGTCCAAAAAGCGTTCCTTAACTCGGAAATGACAGCAAAAATGAGAGAGCAACAGTCAGTGAGAGCGACTCTCATCAGTCCGAAGTAGTCAGATTTAGTCAGAAGAATTTTTTCTGGCAAAATCCTGAAAAGTGTCAAACTCAACTGAATTTAAATTAACGGAAATTAAAGAATACGCAAAAAGTGAGAATAATCTAAAAAGTAAAAGAAATGAATTGAAATTGGAAGGAGGCAAAAAATAATTGATATAGCAAGTGTTTATTGTGCTTGTGCTTGTGTGAATGTGTTTTGTACATACATTTCTGTTCTTATTTGACGTTAGTTTTGTTGTTGCCATTCTTTGGACTAAAAATTTGGTTTTTTGCGTTCCTTTACTTTTCCTGTTACTCTCTTTTAGTGAGCGCATTTTGCTTACGCTCTGGCATTTTGACACTTTTCAGATTTTAGTCCAAAAAGATAAGGAATGAACCTATTATTATATAAATTTACGTTCTCTGTCATGAACCAGGCGATTCCCAATAGAATTTGATGGTCGGGGCCATCGATAGTTTCAATAGTCGATAGTCGCAGCCATTGATTAAAAAATTCCAAAAATTACACATAAATACTTTTATTGAAAATGAGATCAGAATTGCTAAAATGTTCCATATTTTTGTTAAGGGGAAAAAGTTTATTAACGATTTTGGCTTCAAGCAGCATCTGCATTCTAAAATTATTTGCCCTGCTTTGCTAAATGTCCCTTCCAACGCACAAAATGGAGCAGGTACCGCCGGCTTTAATACCATGTTCTGACCGACATTGAAAACATGTTTTCGTTACTAAAACTGGTTTTCGACCTAAAACTTGTGTTTTCGTCTATGTAAAATCTGTCGAAGGAAAACCAGTTTTCGCTGAAAACCACTTGAAAACTCACGTTCCACTCATTCCAATCGGTGTCTTCACTAGTTTTTTTCGATTATTTATCGAAGTGGAAGACATATTCTATCATCTTTAATAAGCCATTTCGGATTTATTGTTAATTGGTCTGCCTAAGTAAAATAAGGATGAAAGTAAGAGGTTGTAAATGCAAAGAAAATGAAGGAAATGTATTTTGGTTTTGTTTTTGTGTAGCAAAACTGTAATAAAAAGATGTAAGAAATGTCAACGAAAACACTAACAGCCGGTGTGAACAGCCTTCAGCCCACAATCCCAAACTTCGTTTTCAAAGTGTTTTCGTTGTCGGTCAGAACATAGTATAACTCTTACTCAATCATATATGACAGTGGCTACACACGACGAACATATCCGCGCACATGCGCGGCTTGCGGGTCATGTTCGTCGTTTGTAGGGCTGTTTGCGAGCATCGCTTTAAAAACAAAAACAACAACCTCATTTTGTGTTGATGCTTGAAGTGTGTACATCGGCGGATAAATGCATCCAAGCAATGTTATTTAATTGAATTTTTGATAAACGAGGCTAAATTACTATAAGTATATGTATGTACGTACATACAAGTAAAATATAAATAAATTTAAGTAACACATACATAAAAAAGTTAAGTTAAAAGCATTGCAATTGCATTATCCGCGTCTTTCCTTTCCATGTTTACGCTTTGAATACAAAATCACTTATGAGCCGCTCGTCGTCTGTAGCAAACGACAGCGAGCATGTTGGCGCATATGTGCGCGGATATGTTCGTCGTGTGTAGCCACTGTAAAGTAGTGAAAACTATCGATAGTGATTACAAACCCATCGATGTTTTCGATGGTCACAAACCATCGATACTATCGATAGTGCCATCGATAGTTTTCCAGCTCTAATTTGAGATTAGTTGAAAATTTTTGTTGCCTCCATAATTTGGTTAATTTTATTGGTGGATTGTAGTATTTCCGATAGACAAAATGAGGATTCCTTTTGGCAAAAAACATGCTGAAATAGCTACATCTTTGTAAGTTTCATACACACAATTAAATACCAACCAAAATAAATCTAGTCCGCACTTAAGTAAGCGGGCAACAATCTGCATTGCATAACCAAGTATATATGATTTATGTAGATATATATTTCCAAATAAATCTCGAAGTTTGTTACTAGCTTTAATCGCGAAATGATTAATATTTAATGGTCTGTTTTTTTGCAGCGTCTCGTCGGCCGCTGGTTTTGGTGGCGCTGCGGGGCTTGCGCTACTCTACTTCACAGACTGGAAGGTCGTGTTGCAGTACGTGCCAATCTATAATACGAAATTCGATAAATCCGAATAAATTAATCGTTAAAGTTTACAACATGTGTTCCAAAATAAAGTCAAATTTTCCGTGAAAGGTGCGGCTAAAACGAAATGTCTGTATTTTATTACTTCAGTCAAGTTGGTCAAATTGGGAATAAAGAAAAAATATTTACTTGGTGTAGGTTATTTATTCAACTTACTTTTCAACAGGGTTTCAAACATCAGCGAATTTTATAAGGATGAATAAGGATATTCTCGAAGTGTTGCAGAGTCCTCGCACGGGTTTTCCTATCGGACAGCTTTGCAAATCGTGCACCGTGCAAGGGCGTAGATATGTACATAGCAATGTTGAAAAAAATAAAGGCAGGAGGATTTGGAGACCCGGAAAACCCGTCAACCCTAACGGCGTTGTCCCTGTGGACCGACCCCATAGAGGCTGCACGCTTCTTGGGGCTGCCGTTAGTGGAACTCGACAACGACTGAGATATCAACCGATCTGGGCGGGGTTGTTGTAGCCGCTACAACAACAACAACAACCACAAATACTCTTTCCCGGCACTTTATTGATTTCGATTTGTTTTTGTATACATATGAATAGGTACTTTTGATAAGAGATAAAAGTTTTTCACTTGCCTAGTCTTCACTTAACTGCAAATCTAGCATTTGTTATATAAAAATAAAAGCTACTTTTTTGTAGTTAGTAAACGCTTTTATTTAAAATTCTTTTAATAAAAAATCTAACCATAAGCCTTTCATTTAAGTAGTATTTCACATTTAATGATTGTACAAAAAATTTAAAAAATCTGTTTGTATAAATGTGTGTAAGTATTTATAAAGTTACATAAAAAGTATTATAAAAATGGCAGGATTCATCCTTATTCGAGCGCGTTACAGCTGTAAAGTACAAATATGGGTGGATTACATATGTTTTAGAGTGAAATGACATGTTATATAAGTTTTACGAGGTGTGCCGGAATACGAATTTGATTATTTATGTAAATTATTGTACTTCATGATACAACATATATGTATATGTATGAATGCATGTCGTGCTTCGATTACTTGTGCATACATATCTAACTAAGTAAAATGTTTTTTTTTTGCAATTACGAATAAAATGCTTTATTATATG